TTTTTATCTAAAAGGCGACTCGTACTCAACGCTAGTAAAGCTGGTATACAAAGCTCAGTTTTTATAACATCCAAAATATGGTCCCAAAACTTTCATTTTTAATAATAGATAAAACAATATTTATCAATGACATCCAAACATATACATAAGACCAATGTATCAATTTCTGTAAAATCAGAGTAAAACACCCAAGGCGGAAGCATATGGTGTGTGCTCTGCAATCATTTGAAGCTCTTCTTTTTGAAAACCAAAGTACCTGAAACCAAAACTGATAAACCGTAAGCACGAAGCTTAGTGAGTTTCCCCCAAACTACCACATACCACAAATATCATACAGTTAAGAGATACGGGCCCCGCCCAAACTCAAGGAGATATGGGCCCCGCCCACACTCGGATAACGGGCCCCCTTTAGGAGATACGGGCCCCGCCCACACTTTGTGAGATACGGTCCCTGCCCACACTCAACTAACTAAGAGATACGGGCCCCACCCACACTCTGTGAGATACGGGCCCCGCCCACACTCAACTAATCATGAGATACGGGCCCCACCCACACTCAAATAATAATGAGATATGGTCCCTGCCCACACTCACATACATAAACAAACACATACAAGTATCACATAGACAACAAGTACACAACCTTCCAAACATACCAATAACCACACACAAGTAATGATGAGATACGGGCCCCGCCCACACTCATATAGATATAATCATATAAACATTCCAACACATGCGAAAAACACAAAGATAATAGCATACGACACAATCAACGGGCCCCACCCACATACAAGTCATATATGCATAACCTGATACTAGCATATAAAATAATCATCGGGCCCCGCCCAGCATACATATCAATACATATACATGCCAGGGTCATGTAGACAACTGGCATCCTAACATAATAACCATGGGCCGACATTGGTGCCTTCGACCCGCTAAACACAGTGAGGAGACTCACCTTGTTCTGCTGAAGTCCCGCGGATAAAACTTTAGCTGCTGGATGACAGATTCCCGAACTGTCAACATCAAAACAACACCCAATTAATAATCGGGTTCCAATACATAACCATAAGTCCATGCTTGGGGTAGAAAGACTACATTACCCCCAACCTAGCTTGATCCAAGCCCGAGGCCCAAACTCACACTCTGAAGGCCCAAAAGTCAAATAATCAACCAAGGCCCAACTATGGCCCAATTTTCCAAATTGGGCGCAAACCCCTTACATGGGCCTTACCCTAAAGCCCATCCAAATATCCTAGTCCATACACTTGTTCATAGATGGCCCATTAAGAACCCAAATACCTAGGCCCAAAAGAAAGGCCCAACTTGAAGCCCAATCATAATTAGGGCTTTCACATAAAATGACGATTAGGGTTAAGTGTTCTTACTTAACCCATTAAGGACTTAATCCATTAAGTCCATCATCCCACTAGACCAATTATACAATGTGATCGGGCATAAGTCACAATTCCAATCCAACGGTCCAAAACGCGGGTCCCGACAAGTCCAAACTAAAATCTCCAAGATTAGGGTTTTCTAAACCCTAATTAGGGTTTCCAACCCAAGCACATGCCAACTAAGTCCAAGATTAAGCTATTGGGCCGATTAGGGTTTCACTAGGTCGAGCACCACCCACTGCCACCTCGGGCGGTGGTGGTCGATGTCGGTTCACGGCGGCAGCCACCACCTCATGGTGGTGGTGGCTATGATTCTAGGCCAAAATACTGACAAAAGTACTCCAAACACCAATCCAATCACTCGCATAAACACACAGCCTCCGGAGATGGTGGCTAGTGGCGGCAAAACAATGGCAGCCACCACCTCACGGTGGTGGTGGTGGTGGGTTTTCCGGCCAAATAACGCACATGCTACACCACAACTACCGACATCAACATGTATACTCGAACACACACCCACACAGCCACCGCCTATGCGGAAGACGTCACCGGAAAAGACGAGAACAGCGGCCCAAAGGCCACCGACGACAGTAACGACGTCTCCAATGTCTTATCCACAGAAAGAACGAGAGAGAGAAAATATGGGTTGCAGGTGGGCTTACCGAGTGCTTCCGGTTGCTCGTGACTCACGCATCGACACCCACAACGTGTTCCACGGTCCTCGGTGGTTCTCCGGTTGCCCCATGACATCCGACAGCAAGGTTGTGGTGGTGGCGCTTCAATGGCGAGGTAGCCGCTTGGCTGCCTTGTCTGATCAGAAAAACGAGTAGAAGAGTGGTGACGACTGGAGAGTCATGAACGACGACTATCATAAGAGTAGGGTTAGGGTTTGCATCTTCCAAACAAGAGGGAAAAGGGATACGGGGTTAATCCCGTGTCTCATTTCAAACCTTTGTCCATTTTTTCAAAATTAGTCCCTCCTCACATGCTCTTTTTCAAATTAACCCCAATAGTTACCAAACATCCCCTGCCTTCAGAAATCTTTACAAAGTGACTCTGAAATTTACACTTAACCCCCACAATTCCAAAAATTATGACATTTAACTCCCATGGCTAATATCCATAAATTATTATTGATTTAGGGCTTCAATAAAATAATATAAAAATATCATTTACATCTCGGGGTTTAGGGCTTATTATTTATTTACTTATTTTATTTAATTTTAAACGGAATGTTACAGTTTTAAATGTAACTAACAACTTATTATGTTTTATGAACTGATTATTGAATTGTTTTACAACATTTTTAATATCTAGTTTTATTTTAGTCAATTTAATATATGATGTCAACATTACATTTATATGAAATTGATATACGACGAACTACTCACGAACTATTTGAGCTCATATCGTTAAAAGTTTGAAACGAGCCTTAGCCCAAGCTTGAGTGTAGAATAAATCTCATCTAATAAACGAGTCCGATCTCAAGTCAGCATATGAGGGCTCGTTTAAGCTTGTCAGCTTAAAATAGCTTTTGTATAATATATTATTATTTATATATTAATAAAATATGAACAAAATAACGAGTTGGTCCCGATTTTGACCGACCTTCAAGGACAAACGAGCATTAACGAGTCGACCACACGCTTCATGTATGCTTTACAAGTCAAGCTTGAGCCTCCATACTCTTAATGTAGCTCGAACTTTAGCTTCTATAACTTCAAAACAAGTTTGACAATATGTTCGGCTCCACTCGTTTGTATCCCTAACTCGCAACTTCATGCATGTTTTTTTGTCATTCTTTATGTAAACAATAATTTTATTAATTTGAAAAGATAAACATAGGTCCGACATCAAAAAGAATATTTTCGGATTTGGTCTTAAATTTCTCAAACATAATATGTAAAGTTAACTAACCTCTCTAATAAGCTAGTTTTGAATTTAAATTAAGTAGGGTTAGCATTTGTCGGGTCTAATCTTCAAATCTTTTTTGAATGGTTAATACTTTAGTTCTTATAATGGTTTCCACCACATCTTCTAAAAGAGCATGTACCAATCAAATATCCCCAATCCCATTAAGATTAATTGGATATCTAACATTATTTAATCATCAAATAATTGTTAAAGCTTTTGCAATAACACTTAGTTAAATAATAACAAATGTAAATGCAAATACACAACTTCGTAATAAAATTCCTTAGAAATACGTTATTATTTATATAAAACATCCCAAAAAAAGCCTTGTTATTTTTATAAAATTAGAAGAAAAGCAATTTGTTGTTCAAACTTCAAATCGAAAGATTACCCAAATCAAAGAGTGTGGCCCATAAAGATGTGATTTATCATCAACATATGAAAATGTAAATTATTGGAGTTCTTATATTCATGTATCTGTTATTACTGTATATTTATCCCTATATATATTATCTTAAATTGCATACCCAAAAGAAATATTTATATTCATATGTTTATAATTATACATATTATATCACTCGCGTCTCATTTTAATCAAGTTAACTACTAATATTGTAGTGAATTCTTATAATTAGTTTGTTTATATCCGTAAATTGAAATTCAACTGAGTTTTATGGATTCAAAACTATGTTATAACATTCTTTTGGAATCTGTTTTTAATTATAAAATTCTACCGTTTCAAAAATAATAATAATAATAATAATAATAATAATAATAATAATAATAAATCAAAGTCAAAGTTAACTAATATAAACCAACCAGGATAAATTAAATTAACATAATATATGTACCTCAATTTGTTTCGGTTTTAGTTCATATGATTGTTGCAAATTTATTATGTATTTGCTAAATGAAATTAAAATCGAATAACAAATGACTTTTCGATATTACTTAGAGCATGTAAAACTATGTGCTTAAAAGATTATTAGTTATTACTAAATACTAATTCCATTATCATATGATCCAATTATATTTGATTTTTGACAACCACTACAAGAAAATTTCAATTTAGCTACGGAAAAATTCTGTAGCAAAAACCTGAAATTCCGTAGCTAAAGCTGAATAACTACGACATTTGTTACACAAATTTTCAATTAGACTCCGTAACTTTATTTCTTGTAGCAAATTGTTTAGCTACGGAATTATAATTCCGTAGCAATTTTGCTATGACAGTTTCTATGACATGTATTTCGTTGCAAATTGAGTTCCATTGCATTTTCGTAGCAAAATCCATAACAATTTTTCCGTAACAAATTTCGTAGCAAATTCCATAGCAATCTTTCCGTAACAAATTTCGTAGCAACTTTTCCGTAGCAAATTCCATAGCAACTTTTCCGTAATTAATTCCGTAGCAATGTTTTCGTAGTAAATTCCGTAGTAACTTTTCCATAACAAATTCAATAACAATTTTTCCGTAACTAATTCCGTTGCAATGTTTCCGTAGCAAATTTTGTAGCAACTGTTCCATACCATTATTCAATTACTTTTGATTACTCAATTCGACTATTTATATCAATTTATAAAAATGCAATTAATATAAAACCACAAGTAAAAGAGTATTTCTATAGAAACTAAAAGAAATATCCAATATATCAAAAGATACATATTTCAAAATCAAAAGTGGCAACTAATTAAATATAAAATGATACTCGATACCTAATATTCTATCATTGATTAATAAAAGTTTTAACCTAATCACTCAAAGCTTGTGCAAGTTCAAACTTTGCTTGAACATCCACATTTTTCTGTTGAAACTCCACATTCTTTTGTTGAGCATCCTTATATTTTTCTGTTGAATATCCTCGTATTGTTCGCGTTGCGTCTCAACTAAGGCAATTTGGTTTGAGACATAAGTCTTTCTTTTTATGATCCTGCAATATTTTAATATAACCCATAAAAACAAGAACAAATGATTAAACAAGAAATTTGACTGTTAAATCTTATAAAGGAGGTAAAGCACAAAAAAATTACCTCAAAGGTCTTTTTCAAAAACATATGAAAACGTTTTTCGTATTTTTGTCTAGCAAAACCAAATCCCACTACAATGGCATTAAAAATGGACATCGCCTTTTGAACAGCCTCTTCATGTGCTATTCTCATTGCAGCCTACAGTGATTTGAAGGAAGATTTTATAAAGGCTTGTACATTGGTTTATATAAAAATAATAGAAAATAATGAATCATACTTCCTCAGGTGGCTTTGTACGATCAAAGACTGACACATAGAGATCAGTAGCCAACTCATATGCCCTTTTACAATCTGCTTCTTCAACACTCTGTAAAATGGAAATAGTTTAGTAAAACACAATAAGAATTAAAAAGAAAATTATACAAAACTAACATGCCATAAGGAGGTTATTGTAGGCACTGCACCATTATTAAGAGCATCTAGCAAAGACTGAGTGATACGTGCAAAAATAGGTCCAAACTGTTTCTGTGGGCCCCACTTGCTTGGGCCTAGTCCTCTAAAAAACAAACCTTGTTAAAGCATCAAGTCCCGCTTTAACCTCTGGCCTCATGTCGCCCAACTATAATTCACACAACAAAATTGAATTAATTGATAAAACACGAAACTAACTATTAACATATTTTATTGTATTAATAATATTTAAGTTCAATAAAATAATCACTGACCGGAATCTGGTTAAGTCGTTGGAGCTTGTTCTCATTTTTCACAGGTCTAACAAGAGTGAAAGCATTCAGTTTTGATCAGGTGTTGTTGTGTGACTTTGCATTTCGGTTTTGATCAGCTCTATCAGCCCTTGGATTGGACCACTTGTTATCTATGGATTCCCTTTCTCAAAATTACACAGATTCCAATCAGTATTTATTATCTATTATTAGTGTCCTATATTTTTAGTTAATTGAAGGCTTTAGTGAAAAGTGTAATACTTAGTTATTGAGTATTTCAAAAAAGAGAGTAACAGGGCTACTACCACATGGAACATTTTCCATTTGATGTGCAACATTTGTGATCCTTAATGCACGTTTAAGGCAAAGGAGAACCTTGTAATCGGAATGGAATCAAGATTGTGTCGGTTCTGGAAAAAGAAGAATGGAATAGAGAAAAATAAGAAGGATGGGAATGGGAATACCTTTCTCCATCCTTGATTACATCCACCCAAAACAAATGTGAACATGCATACAACGCTCTACACCAGTCAACTGAAACATTATATCAAACAGTTTGAAGGCATGGAACGATTACATAACACCACATCATATAAAACCCTCTTATTCACATAATGGTAACAATTAAACAATAAATTATTAAAAACCTGAGCCAAAAAAGAAAGAATTCGTTGTTTCAAAGCCTCTTTGATTGGATCCATGGAAGCATCTTTGACTAAATTATTCATGCCAGATCCTGAATAGACGAAGTATAAGTAGAAGTGATACAAGCCATAATCAAACTAAGGGAAAATAACACTTAATAGTTAAAACAAGTAAGATAAACCAAATCAAGAAACACAAGAGACCAAATTGATTTTATTTAAAAAAGACGATGAATGATGAAATTGATTACCTTACTAACTCAATCTGCCTTTCTCCCTCTGTAGCTTCAATGGAAACCCCCAAGCCATGGCGAAAACCTAGAAAAATCGAAATCAATAACATATTTGAGAATTTAACTAATCGAACACGAACTAAAACCATTTTGAAATTAGTATTTAACAAAGTTCAGTAAAAACAAGCAATGTGGTGTGTAAGCACATGAAAAATATAAAGAGGCAGACAGGCATGGTCCCCAGCATAAGAAACGTTGGAAATACGGTCATTCTTTTTATAACATCCTCTCATTTTGGTCATTTTTATGATCAAAACCTAAAACCTTAATAGATTACTTTTTAAGCTAATCTCTTTTTAACAAACCCCAAAAAATAAACAATCATGTATGACTTAATTCTCAAACAAACATCTCATAAACCATGAACTTGTATCTTTTAAGAGAATTTGTTGAAAAATCAACAAGAAAACTCAAAATATTCTCTGCTAACAGAAACCACAACACTTCACTTCCACCTAAAAATGGCATGTTATGAAAGAAAGAGAAGAGTAGATGCTAATTAAAGATAATTTTTTGATGGAGAAAGGACTTTCTTTTTTGTGACATCATTTTTTGATTTCAAAGAAACTCACGCATGATTGAGGCATGCATCCTCTTTTTCTCAAACTTCACCCATTCTTTATTAGCACAAAGCAATAACTATGATTCGTGATGATAGTTTCATAGGAGAATCCAACTCAGAAAGTAAGAAAAAAAGGGCAGTTGGTACCTGAACCCAGCAAAACTGTTCTTTCAAGCATTTCGTCGTACACTTGAAGTGCACGACTTTTCTGCCTTTTTCTCATCACTTTTATTGGAGTATCACAATTGGACACCCCATATCCCTCCCTCCCTGTCATTCAATCTAGCAAATAAAACCGGTGTGAAACCATATAAAAGTATATAAACCGCCCACTTTTTAGCGTTGTACTCACAACGAACTCTCCTGAGCTCAATGGTTTGTGAGAAAGAGCCAATGGTGGTGGTTGGGAGGATTCGAAGGTTGAGCTTCTTCTATTGGGCGTCCAGTCTGACACGATGGTGGTCAGCCTCTCAAAGCGGCGGCCTGAGAATGCAAGTGTTATCACTTACAGCCTTCTGGACGGATTTGTTTGTGACTCTTATGGAGGAGAAACTTTCTTGAAACCTGAGCAGCATTAATGGAGTGGAATTAACTCAATCGTCCAGATGTATATACAATACCTAGTAGGGACGAAGACGGTTGAGAACAATAGTGGCGACGAGGAGTAGGACGACGCAAAGTGAACATGAATGCGACAAGGATCACCGATCAAGAACAACAATAATGCTTTTAGGAAGGAGGAATTAGTTTTGGGGGAATTAGGTTTAAGTTTACGATTGATGGAATGCATAAAATGAGTGGAACATACATACTGATTGACGAAGCAAGCGGGACACGACGGATCAATAGGAGGGAGCTCCCTGCACTGTAGAGGACGTAGAGTACATTCCGATCGATAATGGCGGAAGTGGAAATGAGCGTTGATTTTGGGGGGGGGGGGGGGGGGGGGGGGGGGGGGAACTAAGGAATTAGGAGGTAATCAAATGTGATTTGGGGTAAATAATTTTTTAGGAGATGTAATTATTTTTTCGTAATAAATTTATTATGGTTAACCTTTTCGTAACTAGTTCATAGCAGACCAGCTACATATTTTTATTGTGTAGCAATTTTTGTTAGCAAAATAGTTACATATTTCAATTGTATAGCCACCTAGCTACGGATTTTGATTCTGTAGCAAATTTTGTAGCCAGTTACTTATAGATGTAGATTTTGTAACAAGTTTTGTAGTATACTGACTACAACCAAGAATCCCATAGCATATTTTGTAGTAAAATAGTTACAGATTTTGATTTCGTAGCAATTTTCAGTAGCGATTCAGGATTTAGCCACGGAAATACAACTTCGTAGTCATTTCGGTAGAAAAATAGCTATGGTCGGCCATTCCGTAGCACATTCCGTACTATAAAAGCTACACATTTTGATTTTGTTGCAACTTTCCATAACTATTCATGATCTAGCTACGGAATACAATTTTGTAGCCACTTCCGTTGCAAAATAGCTACAACTATCCATTCCGTAGCATATTCCATAGTAAAATAGCTACGGATTTTGATTACGTAGCAATTTTCCATAGCTATTTAGGATTTTTCTTGTAGTGAACTACAGGTCCTTGTGGTTTTCTGATTTGTAAGTTTTATCCTTAACTTTTTTTTTCCGATATATATGATTCATGTGGTTTCAATTTCTTGTATGGTTGGTCATTGACCTGTATAAAATGACTTTTATATATTTTCTATTTTATTATGGACTTTCTTTTAAATAATTTTTTATACAAAATTAAAGGAAAAAATATAACCCCCCTCCCCCCGCGCGCGCGCACCTAAATCACATACAATTATACCCACTCACATTCCTTCTTCTCTTTGATTCCCGTCTACTCCACTGTAACAATCCCCCCCTCCGAAAGGAATTGTAATTTGTCTTTTATAATTATGATGTAAAGTGTCGGTAGAAAGGATAATTGAGTGTGTATTATATTACTTGATGTAACATAAAGTATGTAAGACCTTCAATACTCTAGGAGACATTATTGTAAATAGGTTTGTCATATTGCAATCAAACAATTGCAATTCTATTATTGTATTTGGCTCCTTTGAGCCTATAAATAGCCCCCCCCCCTAATTCACCCGTAAATACCCCCAACCCTTCATCCGTTTTGAAGATGCACCATCTATCTTATTTGAACCATGAATACCGAGTTGTATTTAGCAACCAAAAATTGGCACATGTTCCTTCGATGACAGAGATCAAGCATATATCATTTGCTTCTGGTTGTATCTTTGTAGAGCGATCTCGTCAAAGTGTTGGTGAAAGTATTTTCCTTTCTGCCAATAATGAGTTCAAACCCAGAAAATCGACAACCGATCATTCATAATTTTTATTTCTTCATATTGTTTTCACTTGTGTGTCATAATCGTTATGATTTGAGATGTATATGTCAATCATGCATTTTTCCCCATTACTTTATACTCAATTCCAAAGCTTCTCCATCTATTGATTTTTATGTATTCTTCTTTTGTAGGTTAAGATCATCGAGTCTCAACTTTTTATCATTTTCATCGGAGAAGGAAATCCATAAATCGATTTGCCAAATCGATTTTAATTGATTCAAATCCATTACATTTATACTTGATTCTGAACCCATAAATTGATTTTCTAAAAAGACGTCTATTTTGTTCCACGTCTGTGATTTCTGATTTCAAGTTTTATGAGGGTACTGGTTTGATTTCAGATTTAAGGTTTGATCAAGATTTCGATTCAATATAATGCCATAAGTGGCGCTTTCCAATCAACTCCACATTTTGATTCTCTTCCCTTCCCCTTTGTCGTCCGAAAAGCTACCTTGATTTAGAACTTGTGAGTCTTAGGGAGAAAGAAGAGGGGTGTTTTCTCATATTTTTCTTTTATAATTGAAATTAAATTAAAAAATATATAAAATATTATATAAAGGGTATAAAGTCATTTTCTATAAGTAAGAGACCAACCACATAAGAAATTAAAACCACATGGATCATCGGTGAAAAAAAACTTGGAAACAAAACATGCGAATCAAAAAAACCATGCGGGCCATTTATGTAATTTTTATTAATGGATCAATTGGCCCTTTACGAAGGAAAAATATGATTATAAAAGGAAGGTTAGAATAAAAGAGTGGTTGGACGATGATAAAAGCTAGTTATTTTTATATGTTGCAATCATCGTCTTTGTTTTAATATATGAATATAAGAAGTTTGTAGGATCACAAGTTCACAACCACTGGTTATCAGTTATGCTCTTATACGTCTTTATGCACATTATAAGCGACACACTACTACTTCTTCAAAACCCTACAAAGTTAGAGTATACATCACTTCATGACTATGTTTATATTATAAACTTTCTGTTATACAATAGATGTGCACATAGAACGAATCTTATTCGATCCGCTTAACAATCTGTTTCCGATAAGCAATAAAAACCAACTTGGTCGGATTCGGATCAGATTTTAACCGGGTTTTTTGTTGTGAAACGGGGTGTACGTTCTAATTGGTTTTACAAAACCAATTTTTTTTCACTGTTGTAAAAATCCCGACTAGGTCTCGATTAATTCCTACACGCTACACGACCGACTTGAAAGTGCCTAACGATTAATCCTTGCATACAAAATAAGCAAAACAGTAGAAAATGATGAAATTAGTCATATTTAATGTTTTTAGAATTCAACGAAATAGCAGTTGAAGGTACCGGCTTAATCCCCCAATTAATCTCTTCCTAGCCGATTAATCATTTAACCACAGTCCACCGACTAGCTAACGTCGAACGTTTTTTACAACCTTGTTTTTTTTGGATAATCTTGTTTTTATATAAATTCTTTTTACAAATCTAATTTAACTTCAGTCAAATATGTATTTGTATTTTGGGAGCATGTGATGAGACGAATATTTGTAACCTTATTCATATTTTGCGATGTTTCCACTTGATTTCGGGTTTAAGGATTAATCTCCTTAAATCCAACTTACTAGGAGTTGGAATGGGTGAGGCCGAGATTACCTCTTTGGTATCCATTACTGGGTGTTCTTCGGATTCTTTTCCATTTACGTATCTTGGTATTCTCGTCTAGGAGTCTATGGTGTAGGTTAAAGGATGACATGTGATTATTGATCGGTTCCAAAAAGAGGTTTTCGTCTTAGAAAGTGTGATTACTATGGTGGCTGTTTGACTCTCACCAAATCGGTTTTAGGGAGTCTAGAGATTTATTTCTTTTCTCTTTTCAGGTTACCTGCTACAACATGTCATATGTTGGAACCCTATACGACTAAGTTTCTCTGTCATATGGATCAGAGATGGAATCATTAGGTTAAATGGGATGTAATCCTTACTTCTAGAGATCACAGTGACCTTGATATTAGTAGTTTGGATGCGTTCAATTTGGTGTGGTTGTATAACTGAAGGGGGAGATTTTTAACGAGAGTTACTTTTTATGGGCTGGATTGATTAAATGGATATATGGAGATGGTGGTGGATTATGGAGGGCTCTCGGTTTCTTCTGGAGGGGGATGTAGCAAAAAATGTTGGTTATATTAATCATCTTCATGAGAGTGGTTATATTCATAGTTCTTCTTGTTGGATTTAAGTGTCTAAGGTCTTAACTAAATTGGTATAATGTTGATGAATAAAAGTAAAGTCATTTTTGGGTTGCCCTCGTAACCAGAAAATAACGTGGGTTGATTAAAGGGGAGAGATAAATGATTTATTAATATATTATATGATTAATATATATAAATTAGAAAATGTAATAATTAATTAAGAATTAATAGAAATTAATTTAGAATAATTATGGGTTAATTAGAATTAATTAAAGGTACAAGGGCTGAACTGCAATTGTTGAATAGTTGAACAAAAGAGATGATCTAGAGTCCTCCTAGATGGGACGGTTTTGGAGGCTCTTAATGTAGCTTTTAGAAGCCTCCAATTGATAAAAAGGAAACTAGATAATTACTGATTTGAAATATTATTATTTTAAGTTCAAATTTAGTGTTTATGTGTTTATCACACAACTATATAAAGGGATGTAACCCTTGGTATTTTCGGCCAAAAAACCTACATACAAAGAGACTTCCGAAAATCCTCTTATCTCTCCCCCTCTCCTACAATCCTAGGGTTTTCTTGAGTTTTAGGTGTGACGCATAAGAAATAGCCATACTTTTGGAGCTAGTTTTCCAAGGAGACTACAAAGGGTTCCTGATTAGCTTAATTTGAATTAAGCTATAAGGTATGTGGTTCTATTCATAAATTTGATTCATAGGGTTTATAGTTTTTGTTTTATAAGTATGTTGTTATTAATTGAGAAGAGACATAGATACATTAGGTTGCATGTACCCTTAAGAGTTAAGTGCAATTCCGCATGTACACATTGATTGTAACCTGAAAACCCCAAAACTTATATGTCTAGAGTTCTTCTGAATGGAAGCCAGACGTGCTTTTGGTCGGATGTGTGGTGTGTCAGATTGTCGTTTAAGGTACAATTTCACAGGTTGTTTGCTTTATCTCATTCACATGATGTCATGGTAGTGATTTTTGTTCATCTGGTGGTTGGAATTTCTCTTGGTGTCATTAGCTCATAGGAGGTGAAGAAACTTGTAACACTCTATTTTTCACCTTTATCGTAGATTTTAATATAAAATGTTTGTTATAAAATTTGAAGTATAAATATATTACTTTTTAGCCAAAATAATTATCATGGAGATATAGTAGATGTCAATACAAAACCATAAGTACAAAGAACGCTGAAATCTGACTTCATATGAAGAAATTATGATTTTTCAAAGTTTCATGTTCAGTCCGACAAAGCAATGGGTGTCATAAAAAGTGAGATAGAGATTAGTTGCTTTTTAGCCAAAACAATCTAAACGAGAATCAAAGTAGTCGTTAATACAAACTC